TACCACTGTAGGCTACTGCCTCAACCTCTCGATTAACTTTTCGGGTTTTGAGCTTCCCCCTCGGGCCAAAATCAGGGATCGACCTAAGGAAGATATACACGAATCCTTCAGCGAATGCTGGCCTCACCAAGCCTTCGAACAGGTCCTCGATGCAGGCAACACCAACGAAGCATGGAGGTTGCTGTCGTGGACCGCGGAGCAATGCCTCTGTGATCTCGGTGCCAAGCCTGGCACTGTGCCCCGCTCGGATCCCTGTGAGCCGCAACCCAAGCAGCTCCCAAAACCTTGCATCACAGTCCACGGTCGCGAATCAAAGGGGCTGCAGGGTTTAAGACACTTAAGTCACCGGTTGCAGGAGTTACGACGTGACCCCTCTAACAATAGCCTCCGCATGAAAGTAAAATCATCCTTGCAAGGTGTTCGCTTGAGCGTGCCGGACCTCCCTTCGCTCCCAGAGGGTCACGAGGAAACGGCTTTGCCCAGTGTTAACGAACTGCTTGAGGCTTACGTGGCACAGGAACGCTCCGCTGCCATGGCTCAGTGGAGGCAGCGAATTCAGGTGCAGCCCAACAGGCAAATCGCTTGGGTTAAAGCCCGCGCCCAGCAGGCTTGTGATGCGGCCGCCGCGCCACCGGAGGTCAGCAAAGCCATCTCGGCGATACATCCGACTTCAATCTTGCAGCAACACGGCAAGGCGTGGGCAGAACTGTGGACTGCGCCAGCAGGCTTAAACTTCACCACCCCTACCATGCAAAGCATCCTTGAAGCAGTGCCAAAAAGGGCCCCCTTTTCAAATGAATTTCCTGGCGATTTTTCTTTTGAACCGGAGGAACTGATTGCAGTCGCAAAACAAATGAAAGGAAAAGCGGCGGGGCCAGACGCGTGGAAGTCTGATCATCTGCTTGAATTACCCATGCCCTGGTGGGTTCAGTTCACACGCCTTTGGAACTCTATCCTGCAGGGAGCCCAGACGCCGATGCAATGGCGCCGTGGCCTCGTGGCATTGTTACCCAAACGGGTAACGTCAACACGCCCGATCGGGCTTCTCCAAGTTGCTTGGCGCATCGGCACAAAATGTCTTTGCAAACGTTTAAGAAAATGGATCCTCTCCTGGGTCAGCCCGAGTGCCTTCGGCGGGGCTCCGGGATTCTCAACAGCAGACGCACACCTTCGAATTGCTTCAGCCCTAAAAAGGCAAGTAAATTCTTTTGTCGTGCAAGATTTAAAAGGCTTTTTTGATCATCTTCAACTTAACGCCGTAATCCCGATCCTCAGACGGCTCGGTGCACCCAGCTGCCTGGAACACATCTTGAATAGCGTCTACTCGGGTGCCGAGCGGCTCTTCGTTGCAGGCGGATTTACGGCCGAAGCCTGGACTCCTGTCTCACTGCATGATGGGGTGGAACACAGACCCCTTTTTCATGCAGGATTACACAGCCCTTCGTCGTGTTCAGTCCTTCGTTGCACAGCGACCTTCCTGGCTTGATGATGTGCCACTCCGGGAGGCCGTCGATCCGTGGTCGGATCTGTTTCCGGTGGCGGCTGAGGCGGTCCGAAAACATAAGTGGACCATCCTTCCTCATGGCGAGGGCCTTGCCAAAACCGATAGCAACGGGTGCCGCCGAGTTTTTCGCTTTGGGTTCTCTTCCTTGAAGGTCCTGCGCCAGTGGCTGGAAGAAGAATACGTGCGGCAGGGCGTGCACAATGCCGGTCGCATTAAAGTTTAAAGCTTCGCACCACAGGGTTGACCCCAACGCCGCTTCGGGTTGTAGTCTCCCTAAGCCCCCTAGGCAGGCCTGGTTCTGTTTTGCTGCGCATAGAAAAATCTTTCTTAATCCCGAAAATCTTGCGCAAAAACGCGCCGCAGTTGCAGCCGGAGCAAGCTTCTGGCACACACACTGCGGGTCCCACCGCCCAGCGCCGACTGATGCAGACAAACCATGCATTTGCGATAAACTTGAACCGTCGAGAGCGCACCTAACATGGTGCTGCCCGAGCCTAAGTACACTTCGTGAGACAAACCCGGTCGTTCCTCCGGCTGACCGGGCCTCTGAAAGGTTCTTCGCCCCCCCTTTGGCAAATTTCCCTGCTGCACCTGAGCCAGTGCCCTTGCAGCATGCACAGCTTGCCGATGCTATTCGCAATCTTCTGAAGGCAGACCAGGAGGCTCAACCGTGCATCGCCACCGACGGCTCACACCTTGAAGACGTGGCTGGCTCTGCAATCGTTCTTCACCAGGCTGGTCGTTTCTCGACTTTTGCTTTTGGCGACGACGACGAAGACCAGTCCAGTTACCGTGCTGAGCTTCTGGCCCTCTGTGAGTTAGCCCAGACGTGCGTTGCAGCTGCCTTGGCTGGGGCACGAGGCGAAGTGTACGTCTTGGTGGACTGTCAAGCCGCGCTTGTTGCACTTAAGTCGCGGTCGTGTGCGACCCTTCAGCTGCTCGTGCAACAAATCGCCACACATCTTGAAACTTCCACCAGATGCGGTTTAAAATTGAATCTGCGATGGATGCCTGCACATGGACGTCAGGCCACTTGGACGCCAGACTTTCCCTTGCCTGTTGACTTGTGCAGACTGCTCAACGACAAAGCCGATGCCGCTGCACGTGATGTTATGCACAGGAGGCACCACAACTCTGCCCGTGCCACCTGGCATCGACGACGACGCGAAGCTCAGGAATGGACCAAGCAGGCCATCAACCTCTCAGCTCAGGCGGGCGAGGCATACCGCCAGTGGTGTGAGAAACGACGTCTTGCTAGACCCGGGAATGGGCGACACGATGACGACGACGCAGCTGCTGATGGGGCGGCGGCTGCTGGGGCCGCTTCTTCGGGCGCGGTGGCTGACGGCGCAGTGGCTGCCGGTTCGGTGGCTGCTGGTGCGGCGGCTGCTGGCGACGTGAACTGAGTGCTACCACGAGCTCCTCTGAAACACTGTGTACAGTTTGAGTGCTTGAGCCTGCTTGTAGTCTCGCTCCTTCTGTAGTGGTACTGGCTGTCTGCTTGTGCTTCCGACTACGTAGTTCACGAACTCTTTGAAGCTTTCTCTAGCTTAACAAACCTAGCTAGAGTGATGTTGGCATGACATGTTGTTCAGTCTCATGTTCATGCTGACATGTCTCGAGGTAGCTGCTTTCTCACGGCTTGTACAAACTGCGTCTTAGCACCACTCTTCGGGCCCAAGGAGGCCTCGGCACACGAGGCTGACTCAGCCTGACCAGTGAAGACCCAAAGAGTTCAAAGAGCGTTCGCATCACAGAAAGACGCATCTGGATGCGTGTGTCCAGTCAATCCAGCAACAAGCGTCGTTTGAGTACAGAATCTGTGCGCATCTTGGGACTGTACGAGTCCTGGCTACTTCACATGAGCCCTATGATCAGCATGCGTCCGGCATCAGTGTTTCCAATGGAAGCACAAGCAGATGCCAGTGCCCAAGGTCAGCGGGGTTGCATTGGTGGATTCGTGTCGCATCCTTCGTTAGGGCAAAGGTGGTTCAGGGAAGAATTCACTTATGAGGAATTCCGCGAGCTTCAGATTCCCGTTCAGCAAGATATGCAGCTTGACATTGCGTGCTATGAAGCGCTCGCTCAAGGGGCGCTGATTATCGCATCTTCAGCCTTGATGCCTTGCTCTAGAATCAAGCTTCGGACGGTTTCAGACAACAGTGGAGCCGAAGCAGGTGTGAATGCATCTTTTACGACTTCACGCCCACTTGCATATTTCCTTGAACGCATTTCTTTGCTTGCCGCAGTTTACCGTACCACTCTTGACGTTTCCCATATTCCTGGGGAGAAAAACACCAAGGCAGATGCACTTTCAAGACCGGGTGAACATGAGATTCCACCAGATTGCCTCGATGTTGATCGCATCAGGCTTCGTCTCAGTGATCTTTGGCTGCCTAGACCAGCCATTTCTATTTCGCCAAGCGATGCTTCGCTGGCTTGGACCGTGCGAGCCCCAGGAGTGCCGAACAACCTCACATAGTTTTGGGCTTTTCGGGAGCGAGGTTGCTGGGTAGTTCTATTTGGGCAAAACTCAGCCACCCATCAACCTGCATGCTTCGGGTCTCACTCGTTACAACATGTGAGACAAATCGGCACTCCTGGAAAATACCTCAGACTCCATGCGATGCTTTGTTGCACTTCAGCTTAAAGCCTTCGGCATTCCGCTAGCAAGCACAACTAATCCTATAGAACGTTGTGTGTATTTATTCACATATGTTTTATAGTTTATGTGTGCGAAACATTTTGGCTCAGTAAACAGTTGTGCTTGCTAGCGGATTCGAAAAGCCTCACCCTCCCACCCAGTTTCACTCGTCTCACAAGGCATTGGCCACCAGGTGAGGTCCACACGTTTGATTTGTTTCTCCTAAACGAATACAGCCTTATCGCAACTGGTCTCGCTTGCAGCTTCGTTTCACATCCGAACAGTATTGTGCTCGCGTACGTCGGTCCCACAGCAGTATATCATACCCTTTTCAGCGCGCTTCTATCCGTTGGGTATACACGGTATCACTCGAATGTTCGTTTTCTTCTGCTTTACGTTACTGCTGTAACGCTAGTGTGGGCGGGCAAAACTCAGCCACCCATCAACCTGCATGCTTCGGGTCTCACTCGTTACAACATGTGAGACAAATCGGCACTCCTGGAAAATACCTCAGACTCCATGCGATGCTTTGTTGCACTTCCGCTTAAAGCCTTCGGCATTCCGCTAGCAAGCACAACTAAACCTATAGAACGGTGCGCTCGCTTTGTCGTGTGCGATTGCATCTGAGCGAGAGTTTCCAAACAAGGTTGTTTCAAGCTGCGCACTTCGCAGGCGGAGGAGTGCTTTCAGCAATTCAAAGCATCTAGAGACAAGCTGGGTGTAGGCTTTTCTCATCGGCTTAGGTTGGGTACTGTCATCGCTCATTGGCAGTTTATTCGCACTTTATCAAACGTTCGATATTACACGTATTGACGTATTGCTTAAACTGTCAATGGGCGTGCAGTGCACAAGGTTCAGGACTTTTCGAGCTTGCTCCAGCAGTGGCTTCGTCGTTCGCGGTGCATCACATGAGCCACTTTCTCCAAAGAGACGACAGTTGGATAGCGCTCATTCTCGAAGCATGTGGAGACCCGCGATGCGTTTTTCTGGGGGAAGAAGGAACCCCCAGAGCGCCGCGATGCTGGTATGGTATTCTATGGGAAAACGGGGCACGCAGGTGGACTTGGAGAAGAGCTTGGCATGCAGTGCGAGCGTTGGGTAAGAAAACGAGTCAGTCAGCTCAGAGGTCACTCATTCTCTTAGCCGCCTCTTCCATGAGAATGTAGCTCTCAGAACTCCAGAGCCCACTCGTTTTCTTAGCATCTTCTTAGCAAGCATTTACAGGGAGCAGGCGCTAACACCTCCAATGATGTACGAGAGCAGTCCATGTTGCATGTACCACAGGGGCATATACTAGCATGTAGCAATGCTCAGATTGCAAGATGTGCCAGCGCTAACGCCATCCGTATTCTACAATCGGTCAGCGGCCGCAGGTGTGGCTCAGTACCATTGTAGAGTACGATGGCAGCGCATGGATATGAGTCACTACATGCTACCTAGATATAGTCCAAAGCCTGCAGGGACGCGCGATTACTGGCATGCTCTCGTTTTGGGCGCTGTCCTGCTAGAGAGAAGTTGGGGGTCAAAGGACGGGGCCCTCTCAGTATTGAGATGCGTTGTCCTGGCCATGCATCTGGTATGAAGACCTGGCTGTGTGGACGGTGATGCGACACTGCTCTCCTGATTGCTCTTTCGGCCTTTACCGCCGGAGCAGGACGCGTTTGGGATCCTTTCACGCTCTGTTCATCGCTTCTCGGCTACATTGACTGGCGGCCACCAGTTTGATGGCGACAATGCATTGAGGAGCCATTGCGCGACCCTCCATGGGAAGCGAGACCAAAAGAGGCTTGCCATTGCGCGACCCATGATTCCGGGGAGCGGAGCCAGCGAGCTTGGTAGTGTTTGCACTTCAATTCATGCTGAACGACTTTGCCGGCTAAGTCTGTATGTCGCAGCTCGTTTCACTTTGTACAGGTGTTAGACGCTTTTGGTATGTTCACTTTTTTCTTATTGGGACCGAGCGCAGCAGCCGCTGTCTCGAGGTCCAGTCACGCAAAAAAAACGCATGTAGGACGGTTCAGACACCAAGATTGCGCAGTTGGAGCTGGTTATGGTGTTAAAGCTGCTTTCGATGATCGAACCGCGTTTGGAAACCAAAAGCCAGCATTGTGCCACCTCAATTCTGTGTTCGAACTCCAAGAACTCTGAGTTCGGAACGCTGCGGAACTCAGTTTCAACCCCTGGTGGGTGGTTCTTCCCGGCTCTGCTGCCAACGCAAACAACCTTGTTGCAGAAGACACCCCGCAAGTGCCTTTGTGCATGGTGGTGGTGGCCAAAGCCGCTCCATCCGCACATGACACTCCACATGCTCACTCCAGCGATCATGTGGCTGTTGCGTGGGCCTATTCGGAGCCGTCCTGCAACTGCCCCTTCGGTGCCACTTCCGAAGAAGCAAGAACACCTCCTTGGGGTTGGTTTTTGTTCTTGACCTTGGCGACCTCCGCGGCCACAAAGACCGCCTCCAGAACGCGCGTCGACGAAACACAAACCGCTCAGCCGGGTTCCTTCTGGTTTTGCATGGCTTCCCAGATGCATGACACTGCATGCCAAATCAGGTGCCATGTTTTGGCACAAGATTTTGCCCGGTAAAAGTCAAAAATGGGTCGCGGGCATCCGTGTAAAAAAAACCTGAGGCAGCAAATGGTGCTCTGCTTTGCATCAAGCCATTTTGGCACAGCACTGTCGAGCCTTGCAACTCTTGTTCCTATCTGTATTTATTTTCGCCACGGAGCGTTATGAAACGTGATGGTCGCCCGCTATTTCGAAAGTCCAAATGTGCCAAGGTGCTATTTTCGGATTTTCCACACAGAAGTTGCCTCTTGAGCTTGTTTCGTAGGTCACGCACCCCCCCAACCACGCGAGCTTCTCCGAGATCATGTGATGTCGCCAAAATGCACGTTGGAATATGATACATGTTACCATTCAACTGCAGCTGGCTTGCAGGAGAGACGTTGAACCGTGCATGGACCTGGTGAATATTCCGTAAATATTCCGTAAATTTGACAAGGAGCGTGAGATGTTTTGAGAGCAAACAACTCTAGCTGAACCAATGCCCGTGGTCGCGAACCGATGAGGATCATGTTAGTGGTGTTCTGTGCTTCAATGTAGTTTTGGTGAAGCAATGTGTGCCAGCCTCGGTTTTTTGGTATCTTTTCCGTTGTTGTTGTTTTTGATTCTGTCATCTGTTATGTAGTTGCTGGCCGAGGTGCGTTCTATCAGGCTTTGGGTGTGTCACGATCCGCATCCAAGGAAACCATTCGTTTGGCGTGCGCTCTGTGGTGTGGCTTTTTTGTGCATGGCATGCGTAATTGGTGCATCGTGTTTTCTTCGAACTATTCGCAACTATTGAACATGGTGGATGGGCGTTTGTAGATGAAGCTGTTTGGAGCTTCCACTTTCCAGGTACTTACGGCTGGCGAAGCAGCTGCACCCAGATGTCAACAAGGCCACAAATCGTGTTTGGTCAGCCATCTGAGAGTTTAGTTTGCAAGACATTTTTTTTATGCGTTTGTCTTTTCCCGTTTGTGCCCAGAGCTCCTCGACTCAAGGCAGCTGGGGCTGAGCAGAGTTTCCAGAAGGTCCGGGATGCCTACGAGGCTGGCAGCAAAATCTGCGACGCCACAGAGTTCCACGCATTTCCGGGGTCTGAATCGGAGGTTCTATCCAACGACGATAAGCGTCGTGAGTACGACCGTCAGATAGCTCCTCCTGATCGTGGGCCGAGCCTTGGCTGCCAGAGCCAAGACCTCATGACCTCATGTAGTGGAATTACGTGACTGGTGGACTCGTGGTGGTCGCAGTTTCCCACCTGAACTTGTTCTCACCAGTTGTAAGGCGATCAGGACCTGACCCTCGGGCTACATGGATGTACCGCAGCCGAACTGGGCAGCCTGGAGGCCCGGCAGCTTTGGAGAGATAACATGTAATTGATCACATTCGTGTCCGTCAAATCTTACTTACAGAAACAGGAATGAGCGGCAAGCCTTTCGGCTTCACGGATGAGGCAATGAGTCAGTGAGTCTGAAGAAAGGATGTGCTGTGTGAGTCCTAGCTGCTCGGACAGTGGCAGGCAGCATGGAGAGCTCGACAAGAGTATGAGGAGACAGTCTGTGGGCCTTCTCTTGTGCATGAATTCACAGGCTTGCCGCTCGTTTCGCACTGCTTTTGAGCAGGAAATGCGGAGACGCGCAGAAGAAGCGCAATTTTATGCAGAGCTTCTCCTCAGCAGTTCTTCGGGAACTTCGTGCAGTTGAGGACCGTCCATAGAGGAACTTGGCGTGAGCTCAGGTTCAATCAGTATCGTTACCGGCAAAGTGCTTTGACGGCATCTAAGTCAAGTCGACCATTGGTAAATGCGACCGTGCTCTCTCTGCCCTATCGTCTCCAGGCTGGCGACACACAGGCAAACACACCAATTCCGTTGCATTTGCGCACCCTCATTTGGTGAGATCAAAGTTTTTGACAGACTTCCACCACCGTTAGACTTAGACTTTAGATAGCTCGTGTAGGGACCATGTCCTCGGTTTTTTGTGGCCCTGGGCCCTTGAATGGTCACCGAGGTCTTTTCGAATCACTTCTACGATTTGTGCCACTTGTGGTGCCATTATGGTTTGCAGGGTCCTCATGACGGCAAGAGCCCGAAGTCTTCGTGGGATCCAATCTGTTGTTGTTTCACCTAGGTCGCCATGCTTTTTGGTCTCTACCGGCGGAGTCGTTCAGTGGATCAGGGAAATCCAGCCGCTGGGCGGCAGCGATGCTTGCAATTTTCTGAAGTTGCTGCATGAGTCGCGCCTTGTGCTTTGGCTTTCCCGAGGCGGAGATGCTGTATTGGGATGAATTTGATCGAGCTTGGGCTCGAGATGCTTATGGAAGGCGCTTGCGAGTGTGGCTGCAGACCTTGTGGTGGCAGCTCTTCGCGTTACTGCGTCTGCCAGGATTCATCGCCTGCCAGACCTGGACAAGCAGCGCTAGCAGGTTGCTGGTGCTGCAACGGAGTCGAAAAGGCCAGGTTTGGGGAGGACAAAGTCTAAACATGGAGCAGACATGCAAAATATTTGCAAGTGGAAGCTTCCGAACTTTTCCTCCAGTTCTACCCTTCCGTGCACGCCGGGTTGGTCTGCGAAGCAGAAGCTGACCTCTGCAGGAGTGCCATGTAGACATGACACTTGACAAGAATTTTCCTTAGCTCTCATGCCGGTGAATGCATCGGTTGCAGACGCTCTTAGTGTTGGTGTCCTTCCACAGGGTTCCGGCGAAGTACAGCGTGCAGCCTTTGAGCCCAGCGGACAGAGCGAGGCTCTTGTGGCTTCCTAGTGCCACAAAAAGATGAAGTGAAGTGGAGGGATCATTTTTTGAGACTTGGTCGCATGGGGCCAATGAGTTTGGTCTCCGATTGAAGTCACGATAATCCTTCTCGAGTTGATTACTTCAACAGGTTCTCTATCGGTGGTGAGGCATGTAAATGCAAAATGTTATCGCTTCGGAGTTGCGGCATGAATGTGAGAATTGATCCAGCCATGCCCATGCCAATGTGGCTCAGGCATACTCAGCGGTTTTTCATAGAAATACCAAATGCCACAGTCGAGGCTAGCATAGCAAGTGTCGTATGTGCATCTCGCTACGGCATTAGGAAAGATCCGTCCGAGTTTGCAGCGTCAGTACCTGCGGCTCCTTCCGCAATGTCAGTTCAGGCCTTATTCAGCACAGACTGGGAAGGACGGTTTAGTCCCCCTGGACGTGCATACCCCCGAGGATGTGGAGCAGAAAGACATCGAGGTGCCCCGTGCGGTCATAGCTGCAAGCTGCAGTGGCTCTGGCTTTTCCTATTTTGCTTTGGCTCGGCTTCAATGAGATCGGAGCAGGTGGCTCGAGAAGATCAGCAGAGAATAAACCGCTTCAGCAGACTGACACCTGGTCGCAACGAGGTGTGGTCGTCTCAGACTGTCCGAGTTCCTGTCTGTTTCTGCTGAGGAATCTTCGGATTCTCGGATGCATTAGAAGCTCCATGCCAGGGAAATTGTGATGAGTCTAGGAGCAAGAGGGTAAGAGGGCACCCTTGGCTCCTCAGCCCCTTGTTCGCTGGCGCGAGCAGGGCCGGGCCTCATAGGTATGATGACTTGGACGAGGAGATCGCCAAGATCAAAAAAGATGTTCAAACGTACAAGGCAGGCTCAGCACTTCAAGAGATTGATACTTCCCCTCCCACGGTTCACACCCCAAGGCAAAGGCACGCTTAGTTCGTTGTTTTGTTCGTCTGCGCATGTGCAGAAGCTTGACATGCTGTAGTTTACAGGGCTGAAGCCTGTCAATATCTCGGATTTGCTGTCAGGATGCATCGGAGGAGATCGAAGGCCCGGTGTTTGCAACGGCGGATCAGAACATGCGCATCATGGGGCTCGTGTGTCGGAGCACCCCTTCCCTCAGAACGATTCTCCTGCAGTCTGAACGCAACGTTGCGGATGTAGACCTTTGTTTGCTGGCTTTACGACACGAGTCGGTCAGGCTGCATGGAAGACAACGGGATCATGGTGAAGCTTGGCGAGGTTTTTACTCCTGTTGATGAGGCCTGGCATATCCTCTGGCAGAACCAGTGGGTTTTCAAAAAATAGAGAAGAGTTTAGGGAGGCAGATTTTGTGAGGATTCTGTGCTGGAGAAGCTCACGAACCTCATCGAGAAGTCTGAGGCCGGACTTGGCCCCAAACATCCTCTGTGTTGGCTTTCCGCTTTCTTTTGGCGGCGTTTGGTCTAAGTCTAGGCCGCGTTGTCCCAAAAGTCGGACGAGATCGAGACTGTGCGGGGTGAGCTGGACTCTTTGAAGAAGGCCCTCAGTTTCAAATGCGCTTTGGAATTAGTGAACTGCAGCTGGACGGGCTTCTCGACGCGGGGCTGGGGTTGGATATGTTTTCTTCGACATCTTGCCATGCTGTGACAAAGCCTTTGTGGGGCTTCAGGGGTAGTGGCTTGGGGCAGCTTTATGCGTTCAACTCGGACTTCAGTGTCCTGCTTCGTTGATGTTTCCAGCTGTGCTGGCGCTTTTGTTACAGAGGTGCTCTATGCCAAATTCGGGACCAGCATCAACCTGGAGAAGTGAGGCACACACTGGTCCCGACGGTTCCGATGGTCCCGGCCCATACTCGGGCACCGAAAGTTGTGCACGGAGTTGCTGGTACACACATGGGACTATGCAGGAAGTCAAGGGCCCAAGGTGGTAAAGACCCTGTGGCCTACAGCTACCCGGCAGCTACCGGCAGCCTGAAGCAGCTGCGGGTAAAGCTCAGTGGTATGTGCTCTTCAAGCGAGCTGACTTCTGAACGGAGTTCTTGCATGGAAAGGGGAAACTCTGCATCTTGCGCGTGCGGTCTGTGTCGTAGCACTGCGCAACAAAGACCGTCGTGCCGTGTGGAGCACTGACAGCTGAACGCTAAGACCTTCAGCACTTCTTCGCCCAAGCTCTCGCACATCCACATGACATGACCTGGGCTCTTCGTGTTCGTGTTTCAGTCCAGTTTAGTCATGATGGCAGCCTCTTAACAAGACTGGATTCTCTGAGGTGCACGTGGCCCCCCCAAGATGCTAGCGCCATGAGACTGAACGCTCTTCTGGGCCTCGGGGGCCTTGGGTGTGCTCCCGAGACTTTGAGCATCTTTGAGCCATGACATGTCGTGCGTCGCGACGTGCCACGCGTCTTTAGGGGGCGGAAGAGCGAGAAGCCGGAGGCAAAGCGCCACAAGCGCCTGGCACGCCAGCTCAGCTTTCGAGCTTTGGCTTCTGAGTTTTCAGAAGAACTAGCTGCTCAGGACGTGCTGGAATCCCTGGGCATCGACCAGGACGTTCTTGCCCTGGGTTCTCGAAGGCTCCGTGCATGAAGTGACTCCCCTCGCAGCGTCTGAGGCACGTGGGCACCCAGCAACCCCGAGCACGGAGCTTGGTCCGAATCTGTGGCTTTCGCAGACTGTCGTGCAATTCTGTCCGTGACGCAGGGCATGTTTGCAGATGTGCAGTGTACTTTGATTGTTTTGCAGTCAAGCTCTCAAGCATAAACTCGGACTCTGCACCTCTGCATTTTGCCTTAACAATCAACTGTGCTTGCACCGAAACGCCTCGACATATTTCGATCAGTCTGCATCGGCAAGAAACGGCACAACGCTGGCTGCTTGACATTGGGTTCGGCAGACGCAGCTCCCGCACGTGGGAGCTGCAGCACCTGCTGCAGAACATGAAGTTGGGGTATTTATAGTTTTCGCTGCTCGCTCTGCAAGTTCTGTGTTCTGGGTTACATCGGTTTGCTTCCGACTCGCTTGCGATCTCATGTTCTTCCAGTTTCATTCGAGACGTCAGCATCTATGACTTCTGGTCTTCTGGTCGCAGTACGCAATGATCGTTCCAAAGGTGAAGTGGGCCGAACGGGCAGGGGCTGCTGTTGACCAAGAGTGAACCGCCCTTTCATGACCCAACCGCAGCACAACCAGGCCGAATCCAAGGCGTTTCGACCGCATGCCGTCGGAGTGTCATTTCACACGGCCAAGAAACAGCAAGCCGTAAGCACAACGCTGGCTGCTAGACATCGGGTTCGGCAGACGCAGCTCCCTACCTGCGGCACACCTCCTGACTGCTGGGAGATGGTGGAAGCTTCAGTACATGCTGCTGCAGCAGATGAAGTCAGGGTTATTGCGCATTGTGACGTTTCTTGTGTTTGTTTTTGGGATTGTGTTTTGATTGTTCCTGTCCTTCTTCTGTGCGTGTCAGTATTTACAGTTTTCGCTGCTGGGACGGAACGGAGGGTGAACCGCCCTTTCATGACCCAACCACAGCCAGAACCAGGCCGAATCCAAGGCGTTTCGACCGCATGCCGTCGGAGTGTCATTTCACACGGCCAAGAAACAGCAAGCCGTAAGCACAACGCTGGCTGCTAGACATCGGGTTCGGCAGACGCAGCTCCCTACCTGCGGCACACCTCCTGACTGCTGGGAGATGGTGGAAGCTTCAGTACATGCTGCTGCAGCAGATGAAGTCAGGGTTATTGCGAATTATGATGTTTTTTGTGTTTGTTTTTGGGATTGTGTTTTGATTGTTCCTGTGCTTCTTCTGTGCGTGTCAGTATTTACAGTTTTCGCTGCTCGTTCTGCAAGTTCAGCATGTATGACTTCTCGTCTCAGTAGGCCATGATCGTTCCGAAGGTGAGGCGGGCGCGACGGAACGGAGGGTGAACCGCCCTTTCATGACCCAACCGCAGCCAGAACCAGGCCGAATCCAAGGCGTTTCGACCGCATGCCGTCGGAGTGTCATTTCACACGGCCAAGAAACAGCAAGCCGTAAGCACAACGCTGGCTGCTAGACATCGGGTTCGGCAGACGCAGCTCCCTACCTGCGGCACACCTAGTACATACTGCTGCAGCAGATGAAGTCAGGGTTATTGCGAATTATGATGTTTTTTGTGTTTGTTTTTGGGATTGTGTTTTGATTGTTCCTGTGCTTCTTCTGTGCGTGTCAGTATTTACAGTTTTCGCTGCTCGCTCTGCAAGTTCAGCATGTATGACTTCTCGTCTCAGTAGGCCATGATCGTTCCGAAGGTGAAGCGGGCCGGACGGAACGGAGGGTGAACCGCCCTTTCATGACCCAACCACAGCCAGAACCAGGCCGAATCCAAGGCGTTTCGACCGCATGCCGTCGGAGTGTCATTTCACACGGCCAAGAAACAGCAAGCCGTAAGCACAACGCTGGCTGCTAGACATCGGATTCGGCAGACGCAGCTCCCTACCTGCGGCACACCTGTGTGGGAGCTTCAGCAAATGCTGCAGCGCATCGCATGATTTTACCATCTTCTTGCAGGGAGAAGTAAGTCACAAGCAATGGTCGTTTCAAAGATGCATGGCAAGTGCATTTGCAAAAGGATTCCTTTGCTCAAACTGGTCTGATCCAGAGAAGCGAGCATAATGGACAAGGGCTGCTTTTCATCTTTTGATTTTTGTATTAGGTGTGTCTACGGGAGCATGTTGCTCTTATACAACCTGAGGTTCATCCTCAGCAAAGAAGGCTGTCCAGTCTTTGAGCGGATGGAACCTCAGCAGAGCTGTTTTGCAGTGCTTGCCATGCACTTCACAACCGACGGTAACTTTCATCGGCACACTTCCCCCTGATCCCAGTGTGCTTCCCGATGTCTGCTTGAGGTTCAAGCTCCGACAAGGAAGAGCTGAGGCCAGCACTCGGAGCTATTTCACGAAGGGCGACTCGCAGGGAGCGACGTGATGCATTGGCGAGGAAATGGCTCGCTGGTGAGGATGTTGCTGCCGGGCACGCCTCAGACAAAGATCCAGCAGCTGGTGCAGAACCTGATGCAGCCTCACCTTTGCAGCCTATGCAAGCAACAGCACAAGATGCGGCAGATGAAGCTGAAGCAGATGCCGCAGCCGCGGCCCGAGTTCGTCCAGCTTTTGAGCTCGCCTGCTCCTCCGGGCCACAGGTCGATTCAGCGACTCCATCTGCGGCGACCGAGCCCGTGCAATCACCAAGGCAAAGAAAGGTGCCTTCGCTTAGTGTCATAATCGGCTACCACTGACCGCAGGCCGGTCATCAACTGGAGGGAAGCCTTTTCCAAGGCACAAGATCGGTGCCTTGGACAACGACCGGACTGTCGAAGAGCATCTACCCAGCCTTTGCCCGTTCTGGCCTTTCAGGTGGGACGTGGTGGAGGACGGGGCGCGGTGTTACTACCACCACTCGGACAAGGGCCTCTTCTTCGAGTGGGTCCGAAGCTTTGGTGTCGAGGAAGGTTCTCAGATGTCTGGTTTTCAACAGCTCAGGACCAGCAGACTGGAGTCTTGTTCCAGTATTTCTTCGGCACTGGCGAAGCAAGAAGTGTTCCTGTGGGTGCCCCGGATCCTGGAGGAACTGAGGACGGCTGCTGCCAATCCAGCAAGCCTTCAGAGAGAGGAATCGGATTCACGTCCCTTTGCCTAGGTCGGTGACGACCTGCCCGAGCGCGGTCCGATCTGGTCCAGCGAGTGTCCAGACACACATGCGGAGGTTTGGGAGGCCGAGCTCGGGCTTGGAGCCCCTAAAACATATTGTAGGGGGACGTGAGGCGCGCGTGCACGCAGACAGTGACTAATCTGGAAACGAGCGCGAGAGTGCGAAAGGTTCGGTTTTGATGTTTGATTAGCCGAGATAGGCTTGGCACCCCTCTGTGTTTGTAGAAGCAGTTAGAAGAAGCAAGGTTGAGATTTGTTCTGCGCCATCAGATCGCTCATGCGTAGACCTTTTTACTGCAGCTGTTTCAGCTGAGCAAAGTGGCAACTGCAGCTAGGGAAGACCCTCACGCCATCTGATGCTGCACGACGCTGCACAGGTTTTGCGAAGAATTCCTGAGTAGCTAGCGTCCTGAGCTGACGTCCTGTGCCGCTCGATGGCATCACGAATTGACCCAAAGGAGGCAGCGGGCCTTGTCGCGGCAGCCAATGAGCCACCGCTATCAAGGAACCCGATGCAACGCACAACTTCCAATATCGGTCTTCCGGGTCTGCTGCTCGTCAAGAACTGCAGAGAACAGTTCTATGCGTGTTGAAGCAGCAAAACAGGACAGCGTAGTGATGTGACATGCGGATGGAGGGTAGATAGGTAGTTCAAGCTGAGTTACACATAACAGATTCTTCCATGGCTGCCCGAGGCCAGCTCCCGTGCAGTCCTTCGTGCCAGCCCCCATCGGCTCGCACGTGCCGGCAGAAAAGCTGAAGCAGGAGAAAGACACTTGCCCGAAAAGAGAGAGACAGCAGCAGACACATCGACCGTAGTGAGATGGTCAACACAAAAGTAAGCGCCATGGTAGGGATCCTGACTGCCAAAGTCAACGTCGTTGCAACTAATTATGGCACCATCACCAGCACCACCGCTACGACGACGATAATTTTGGTACGGCTTTTTTTGCTCCTAGTGCTACTCCTCCCACTTCCATTGCTAGTCCTCCTACTCCTACTCCTACCGCGACCGCTACCGCCACCGCCACCGCCACCGCTACCGCTATCGCGACCGCGACCGCTACCGCTGCCGCTGCCGCTGCCGCTGCCGCTACCGCTACCGCTACCACCACTACCACTACCACTACCACAACTGCTACAGCTGCTGCTTGACATTGATACCATGACACTTGGTGAACCAGAGCCGGACAACATGGATGAAGTGTCGGCCGCTGCTCCGGAGCCCGACCAAGAGATGCATGCTGAACCCGTCAATGAACCTGAAGACGAGATGGAAGAACAACTCGGGCACGGCTTTGAACAGGAGCATGTGAGACTCATGAACACCACAGCGGTTCCAGCCGAGGTAGCATTGCAAGTCCCGTGTCTTCTGGACAAGGAGAGTGCCGTATGTGTCGATCCACATGCTGGACTATGCATGTTCATGAGCTTCGCAATTTGCAGATGCATCCATGCCCATTGGAAACCTCTTTTGCGATGCTCAAGTTACGATTCTCTACCATACAGCCTTGATGAAGTCACTGGCACGACCAAGTTGGGACAAGTTGGGACATGGGAAATTTGGCCATCATCGATCCAAGAACTGAAGTAACAACAGATCCCGACGGGGTTTCCCTTCCTGAGGAAGTTCCGTTTTCGTCAGCTTCTGTCGGTGCTGGTCCGAGATGCTTATCAACTACGCCTTTCCCGTGATCCAATTCTCTCCACAGGCATGATGGCAATACCTGGGGAGAACATACATTATACCTCTCACGCGCTTATCTGCGAGCTCATCGGCAAGGTCACCGGAGTTGATCGCTCCACTTATTTCAAATCCAAGGAACAAAGTGCTGTTGGACTATATGTTGATTTCAGCAGACCAACATGCATATCATCACAATCCTCGCAGATCAAGGTGTACCTGTTCATTATGCCACGAAGCAGAGGCTCCAGAAAGCACGAGCGGACCCAGAACCTGTGGCGCAAATGGTGTATCAATTTCCCTCCAACGCATAAGTTCAACATGCACAAGTTTCCATCGTGGATACCCCGTTGCCCACCAAAGAGACGCTACGGCGGGTGCTTCAAGTTCCAATCCTCCTCGTCCTCCAGAGCCTGAAGGACCGCCTCCTTCCAAAAGTCGTCCGGCTCAAAAGGGAAAAAGGAAGAACAAGAACTCCCCCGAGGAACGGGAACGTTTCAATCGTTGGGCTCGGGGTCATGGTGCTCCGCGCCAGTGACTCTCTGAAAGCGAACGAACGAGTCGTAGCGGCGGTGGATTCGCACAATGTGACGCCAACCATGCACCGTATCGGTGGAGTATGCCTTCGCCTGGCGAACAGCATACTACTCGAGACAAAACGTTTGATGATGATGACATTGAGGTCGTTGAGTGACTGCGGTTTTCATGCTGATGCCACGCTTCTCATTCAGTTGGAGTATAAAAGCTTAACGGAATTTTTTTTTCAGCAATGAAGGAGCCAGAATCTTCCAACTCATGCGTAGAACGAAGGTTCCACGCATGGGGCAGCGCAGTTCGGAAGATGCATCTTTCAGAGCCATGAGTTACTCACAAATCTTTAACCACCATGTCTCCGGACCCAGGGACATGGAAGGCAACAGTTTACAGTCTCCGCAATGCTATGGCTCAAGAATTGGCCATCAAGGTAGTGTGCGACGGTCCTTATCCGCACGGAGCGTGACCAGTCTGTCGTGTACTTCACGGATCAAGCAGCTGAACAAAGTGCACCGCATCGGCCTATGCACTTTGTCCGGTGATTCCTGCTTCAAAGCCTGCCACTCTGTCTTAGCCGAGAACAGCGCTGGGACCAGAGATCCAGGTATCCTCGTGCGAATGAAGAGCACGTCCGAGCTCTCCGCCCGCCAAAGGTTGGTCGAGTCCTCATGGCGAAGACACAGGCGCGCAACCTGGTTGAGCAGCGCCTTCAGCGCCTCAACATCGGCACCCTCTGTCCCGTCTTGTGGCCATTGGCCCCATTGGTTTCGCTGACGACCCCACTGACCGCCTCGCCACGGAGTCTGGAAGTCGCCCTTCTTGCCCAGCTGTTGCCCACCATTGCCATTGCCCGATGACTGTGAATTCTGGCCTTTACCCAGGTCGGTGGTTTTTGATGGGCAGTCTTTATCGAGAGCATCAGTCTCTGCCCCCGTGGTCTCCGTTGGAGGCGTCTGCTTGAAGGCATTCCATACCCGTAGCTCTTCATCCTTTTTTCCATGGGAGTCTCCATTAGTCTCGAATCCAAAGGCGCCAGGTCCAACCGGTCTTAGACCTCGGGCTCCTCGCTGACACAGCGTCTGAGCCAGACCGTATACAGTCTGCGGGTGTGCTCAGACGACACAACACACTCTGCTGCCGGACGACCGTCATCCGTGATAAGCCAGTTTGCCTCATTTTTTCTGAGAGCAGCACGATACTGTCCAGTGTGTGGGGAGTCGCCGTAGTGTAGGGTGCCTGCCACCATGTTATATCTCACCCAACGTACTTCCGTCCCTTCCACAAACACTCGTACTCGAACTGGCTGTCGAAGCCTGACCTGCACCGTCGACTTGCCTCGATGAGGAAATCGTCCAAAAGCTGAAGGAGCAGTAGGTCCTGTTCCAGGATAAGGGCATGCGTGTGCGCTTGATAATACCAGGCACTGATCAACTCCTGCAAATCGCAGTCGCTGCGTGGAAGTTCCAGGTAGACAATCCCACAACCCGCATCCGCAAGCTGATACGCCTCCTGTGTGCCGAATCGGGCTTCCCAGTTCACAAGCGAAAACCCACCTGTTGCAGCATGTACTGCAGAAACTCCGCCGTGTCCCTTTGCCTGCGGTCTAGTTAGTGGCCAACCCTGAACCAACGACCGAAAACCCAGGTGTTGCGCAAGATTGAGGCTGCCGCCCGACACATTCTGCATGATGTTGGGAAGTCGCTGGAATCCTGCCAATGCAACACCCGCATCAATGGCATGAATGGTCGCAGCACACTGGCATTGACGTAGCAGAGGTTGTGTGGATTGTTGATGGTCGATGTATCCCACGAGGCACGTGCCACTCCTCCTGACGATGCTGTTGCGATGGCTACCGAAGTGCTTGCTCCGACTCGCTCCCCCACCTCTGGTATGACCTGTCGAGGATCAGCTTGTCATATCAGACTTTCCGCTGGTTCACTGCTCGAGCTCAGCGCCGATCGAAGAAGCTGTGCCAGGACCCCTGGCTGCTCACGGGTTTTGTACTGTGGTTCCTTGGCCCCGTACCTGCTGTATGCTGCGGTAGCTCACGAAGTTCACGGGTAAGAAGTGCATCGGGAAATGATGGCATCACGGGTTCCGCACCCTGAAGGTCGCCTGGAGGTTTGGGAGGCGCTTGAGCTTCTGCGGCCCTGGCCTGCTGCATGATCTGTTCCATGGACTCACCACGGGCAACCGCTTGTTTAAGCCTTGGGCATCTGCCTTCCGTGATTTGTCTCTCCATCGAGGCCCAGTCAAACATGGCCTGCCTGCACAATCTCCGAATAGAGTACGCTCGCGACGATTGAGTGACGTCCTGGCCTCCCTGTGTACTTCGGCATGCTGAGAGGTGTAGTGTGCCTCCAGACTCTTCTAATTGCCAAACGAGATGCCGCAAACTGGACACGTGGCCGAGTCTCCATCCCGATCCACCTCAACCAGTCAGCTCGAGGGCAAAGATGCAATCCTGTGCAGTTCCAGGTAGATCTCCCGAAGTCTAGTAGACTACTCATCCACGAGCACCGGGGCCTGATGTCCTGCAAGTTGTAGCGTCCTGGTTTCCCCCGCAGTCAGCCTCTGGAGAGCTGGCTCACCGGGTCAATCTGTGAGCGCTGCAGTACCACTTCATTGGAAACGCCATGCTCATGTATCTGAAGAACTTTGCGTAGCGTGCATGCCACGGTGGACTTCATCACTCTCATGCTAGCGGCACTCACTCCAACCCCAACTATCCCATAGTGCAAAGAAGGCACAACGCAGGCCTTGAACACCCGCATCCTCTGATTGAGACTGAAGGCCGAGGCGGTGCGCAGCATCGGCCCGAGCTTCGTGAAGTTGGCCCATGCTCGACTTGCTCGGAAGTTAGCCGTCTGCAGCTCCATGGACCCATATGACAGCATGACTCCTAGGTACTCCATGCGATCTGCAATAGGGATCTGGATCGTCTTCCCAGTGACAGTGACCGCATCCATGCCCGGCTCCAGCACGGAAGCCCCCATGCTCCATTTAACGAAGTGCTTCTTCAGCTTTGCGGCTTCCACACCCCGAAGGCCGAAGGATCAACGCCGCAACCGATTTGCCAAAGTTCACTCGCATCCCCAATCTATGTAACACGTTGATGAGGGAGAGGATTTGCTTTCGGGCTTCCGCGAAATGGGCTAGACTGCGTATCTCCCAGTGTCCATGTACATCATCCGCAAAGAAGCTGGGGTGTTCCTGACACTACTCATCTCTAAGCTGACTCTGGCCGTCCAGGCCGCGACAATGCTCGGCGCAAGTGGGCGTCCCTGCCGCAGTCCCCGATGCATGTCAACGCGCACTGTGTGTCCAGCGTGCCGCACTATGCAGGAAGACTGCCTGTGCACCTCGACTATGAGCCTTGCAAGACAATCCGGAGCCTCTATCGCGCGCAGACTCTCATACATCTCACCAAGAGGCAAGCAATCAAATGCCTTGGAAAGATCCAGGCCGACCATGACCCCGCCGCTGAGCTCCTGCGTGGATGCCTATAGTGAGTCTGGTGGTCAGGTCCGTGTTGACCGAGCCAAGCAGCTCCCGAACCCTCGCACAATGAAGACTGCCCCATAGCAAAGCATCAAGTGTGCTAGATTTAGATCTGTAAGCGAACTGAGGAACCTCCCACAATGCAGATTGAACGTAGCCGGCAATGGAATCCTTGAGCACCATCGTGAACATTTTGGCCATCAAGCAAACCGTTCTCAGGTTTGAGGGCGTGTTCGGGCACTTCTTGGCCTTCTGTCCAATGCTTGGGTATGTGTGGAGAGTCTGTGCAAAGATGTTGGACAGCTATACGGTGGACCTGTGGCACAATGAGCTCCGCATGCTGCTTCCAAATTCGTAGGTGTGGAGATTGATTCGGGGCGGTTTCTCAGGTTTGAATCTAGCTGCAGCCTTCCGCCAGAGCGCAATGTCAAGATGTCAAGATATTCAGCAGGTATGGGCAAGAGGGTCAAGGCTGGTTCCACCGGTGCGTGGAACAGCCTCGTGGCATACTCTTGCAGCTCCTTGCATTCCTCTTCGCCGGACATAAGATTGCCACGACCGTTACGCAGTCTGATGCTTTGCCGATTTTGAGAGGGACACAAAAGCCGAACCACCCCAAACAGTCTACGAAAGTCATTGCTCTGAGAGGCAGCTTCAGCCTGTTCCAGCAGGTCCAGCGCTCGCTGACGCTTTCGTTCACGAAGCCGTTTCTTCATTGATTCAGCGCTCGATGTGCTTTAAGATACTGCAGACTGCAGTCGTAGTTTGAAGATCCTGAACACAAAGACATCTTCTCAGCAGTTCCGAACTTCCTGCTCCACTGACTCCAGCGCTGGCCGCTCCATCTTGCCGCCGGCCGCCTGAACCGCTTGCCTGAGCTCCGAGACACTCGGAACTTTCGCACTCCTTGCGCATCTGAGCGGCTGTTCGCTGTCGGGCAGCCCCGCAGCTTGTACAGAGTGAGATTTCCGGACCCACGTTGTCCAGTCGGAATGGAATCGAACCCAAGACGGGTAGGTCCGGTGGTGCGCCAACCGGCCATGGTGGTCTTGACTGCCTTGGCCTGCTTCGCCATTCCATCCACTGCCGCTTGTCGGGGAGCCTCGTGCATGATAATAGGTAGCTGCTTGGTTTTCTTGCCCCAAGTATACAAGGAGTATTCAAGGCCACCAGGCGATGACGAACAAGTAGCTGTATGAGCCTGCGCTGATCATCTTTATCCAGACCTTGACCCACGCGTGGCTCGCTGATGACAGCGGAGTTGAAGTCTCCGCCAAGCAACACATGCGATCTCACCGGTAGCCCGGATAACAAGGCATCAAGTTTTCCCAACAGTTGTTTGCGCTTCTGTAAAATAGTGTCAGTCAAGCCCGCCTTTTGCAGAAATGCATGTTGGCAAAATCCAATGATGTCCATTTGCCACCGCTGCCCCATGAAGCATCGCACCTGCATGAGCCGACCCGGTACTAGCTCTTGCCAGCGCACGAATTGCGGCTCCACTAGGTGTCGCCGAATGCCCACCAGAATACCTCCGCTGCAAGCCGGCCGGAAGTGGAATGACAAAAGTGTCACTCATCAGCTGTCCAATCAGAGCTGAAGTCCCAATGAGTCTCTTGCAGAATGATGGCACTGATTTGTTTGTTAGCCTCCTGTTGTAGCCACTGCTTTAACTCTGTAAAGAGGACCTCCCAAAGTCCTCCCATGTTCCACGACATGTAGTAATGTAGTGAATTCTAGGTTTGACGCTCTTCACAGGTTCCGATACAGGTAGTATGGGATCCCCAGCGACCAAGTTTTTGCCTCTGTACATCGTCGAACCATGCAGCTGCGCACGTCTTACAGCACGCTTGAATGAACGCTTGCGGATCTTGGAAAACTGTACACCCTCGATCCTATGAATGGCTTCTCTGTCCCCTCCTGGCTTCACTGCTTGCGCAGCTCCAGATTCCCCGGAGGGTGGGAATCTACCCTCGCGCCGATGGTGCAGTGTGGAAGCTGTTTGATCGAACTCTTCACCATCTCCGGATTTGGGGCCGGACTGAACTGTGCTTGCGGTGATCGGACTCGACATGTCCGAACACTTGCCAAATCAATGCGGTCTGCTTGGGTCTCCAAGACAGGCGAGCGGATCTCTACGTCCACTGCAGCCAGGCTACGCGTCTCTGACCTAATGCAGTGCCACACGCGTGGCGCGGAGTCTCCTCCTGATCGGAATACGTCATGGTTCACTTGAGGGGCTCCGAGCCTTCTAGCGAGCTGACAGTTAAAAGCGAGGCCCCGAGTTTCACCGCCGACAAGATTTGAACCGCTCATGGCTCCTATCCCGATGCACTACCATGAGTACTAACTACTACTACTACTACTACTACTACTACTACTACTACGACTACTACTACTACTACTACTACTACTACTACTACTACTACTACTACTACTACTACTACTACTACTACTACTACTACTACTACTACTACTACTACTACTACTACTACTACTACTACTACTACTACTACTACTACTTACTACTTACTACTTACTACTTACTACTTACTACTTACTACTTACTACTTACTACTTACTACTTACTACTTACTACTTACTACTTACTACTTACTACTTACTACTACTTACTACTTACTACTTACTACTTACTACTTACTACTTTACTACTTACTACTACTACTACTACTACTACTACTACTACTACTACTACTACTACTACTACTACTACTACTACTACTACTACTACTACTACTACTACTACTACTACTACTAATACGACTACTACTACTACTACTACTACTACTACTACTACTACTACTACTACTACTACTACTACTACTACTACTACTACTACTACTACTACTACTACTACTTGCGCATAGAGTAGGCTGCAGGATGGTGCATCTACACCTTCTTTTCCTCCTGGCCTACCTTTCCCCTCCACATCCTCTACCCCCCCCATCCGCAAGCCGCTGGGTCCAAATCACCGTGTCTGGCTGCACTGCCCTGGACTGAGTGGCACGAGCCTCAGACAGCACCGAAGCACTGCAAGTGGAGTAACAACCAGAGGCTGCCATGCTTTTCTAGGCCTCCTGCCCACGCCTGCAGGCTCAAGCTGTTGACTAGTCCTACTATCCGGGCCCTCGCAGTCCACCAAGGATCCGCCGAGTCATGTCGCAGTCGCCATCTGGCCATCCTACCACATCGTCTGGATCGCCTCCATCCTCGGAGCATACTAGCCTTGCAGCGACGCTGGCCAGTCTGCATCAGACCCTGGACAATTCGATCGTTAGAGAACGCTACCGTGCAGGACTGCACAATCAGGTCTGGAACACCAATAACTGGGACTGCATTGGCTCCGCAATGGCTTCAAGGTCTCCTCCCTTGCAGATTACAGCAGAGCCTCGTGACAACCAGAAGCTCTCGGCTCAGCCAGGATCCCCGGACTCCATTGACACCGCGGACCTCACAGCGGCAGCGGAAGAAGCGGAAAGGACCCTCGCCTCCTTGGCCATGCCCTCTGATGGCACCACAGTGCCCTCTGGCTCCATTGTTCCACTTCGAGCTCGATCAAGATCCCGCTCTCCCGTCGGCGCGCGCGATGGCCACCACCAAAGCCTCTGATCCGCAATTGCCCTCAGAGAAGCCCTGAAGAGAGACGCTCTAGCAAGA